ATCAGGTAACATCCGGGCGCCGGCGAGAAACACTGGGCAGAGTTTCTTTCACCCTATGCCCCTGTTACCTAGCAGTAAAATAGGTACCAGGGTGTTAGTCAGCTGTCACGGGCTGCTTCCTGGGGGGTGGAGGCCTGGTCGAGGACCGGGCCGCGGGGTCACTAAAGCCCCGAAATCATCTCAAGATAACCTCAAGATAACCATTAACGGAGCAGCCTGCAGGAGCCCGGGTAATAACAACCAACTGCCTATACTGTTACCTTGAATCACATGCTATTCCAGAGGTCATAATCACAAGCACACACTCGCCACACCCAGTATCGCCAGGCAACTACACTTCAAACGCAATTCCAGAGATGCTCATGGCCTTAGGGTACTCCAGGTGGGCTTATGAGGGAAGAATACGCTCCTCCAGGAGGGCTTAGGACCCACTCAGCTGCTCCTTTAACAAACAGCTATGGTAACACAACAGAAACAAAACAGCAATACTTCTTTGCTGACTGAAATTTATAATTTAAAATCTTTGAACGAACAAACGATTAGAGAGAAAGAGAGAGAGAGAGAGAGAGAGAGAGAGAGAGAGAGAGAGAGAGAGAGAGAGAGAGAGAGAGAGAGAGAGAGAGAGAGAGAGAGAGAGAGAGAGAGAGAGAGAGAGAGAGAGAGAGAGAGAGAGAGTGAGAGTGAGAGTGAGAGTGAGAGAGAGTGAGAGTGAGAGAGAGAGAGAGAGAGAGAGTGAGAGTGAGAGAGAGAGAGAGAGAGAGAGAGAGAGAGAGAGAGAGAGAGAGAGAGAGAGAGAGAGAGAGAGAGAGAGAGAGAGAGAGAGAGATTCCTAAGAGGTTACCATAAGATTAAACATTAAAATAGGATCAACCTAGAGGATGATCCATCGTTGATAGAGGATGAATCAACCTAGAGGATCAACCATCAACCACCGTTGGCTAGAGGAACTTAGGATGTGAAACCCGGAGTGATTTCATGGAGTGTGTTCTGGGAGTTCTTCTACTCCCTCAAGTCCGGCCTCGGGCCAGGTTTGTCTAGTGACAACTTGATCTAAAAGGCTGTTCCTTCCAGCTGCCCGCAGGCTCACATATCTATTAAGACCTCGTTGGTCCGGCACTACTTCGCAGTTATGGGGGAAAGGCTTGAACCTTGAGTATGCTAGTGCAAGAGAGCATGCTAGTGCAAGAGGATACTAGTGCAAGAGAGCATGCTAGTGCAAGAGAGCATGCTAGTGCAAGAGAGCATGCTAGTGCAAGAGAGCATGTTAGTGCAAGAGAGCATGTTAGTGCAAGAGAGGATACTAGTGCAAGAGAGCATGCTAGTGCAAGAGGATACTAGTGCAAGAGAGCATGCTAGTGCAAGAGAGCATGCTAGTGCAAGAGAGCATGTTAGTGCAAGAGAGGATACTAGTGCAAGAGAGCATGTTAGTGCAAGAGAGGATACTAGTGTAAGAGAGCATGTTAGTGCAAGAGAGGATACTAGTGCAAGAGAGCATGCTAGTGCAAGAGGATACTAGTGCAAGAGAGCATGCTAGTGCAAGAGGATACTAGTGCAAGAGAGCATGCTAGTGCAAGAGAGCATGCTAGTGCAAGAGAGCATGTTAGTGCAAGAGAGGATACTAGTGCAAGAGAGCATGCTAGTGCAAGAGGATACTAGTGCAACAGAGCATGCTAGTGCAAGAGAGCATGCTAGTGCAAGAGAGCATGCTAGTGCAAGAGAGCATGTTAGTGCAAGAGAGCATGTTAGTGCAAGAGAGGATACTAGTGCAAGAGAGCATGCTAGTGCAAGAGGATACTAGTGCAAGAGAGCATGCTAGTGCAAGAGAGCATGCTAGTGCAAGAGAGCATGTTAGTGCAAGAGAGGATACTAGTGCAAGAGAGCATGTTAGTGCAAGAGAGGATACTAGTGCAAGAGAGCATGTTAGTGCAAGAGAGGATACTAGTGCAAGAGAGCATGCTAGTGCAAGAGGATACTAGTGCAACAGAGCATGCTAGTGCAAGAGGATACTAGTGCAAGAGAGCATGCTAGTGCAAGAGAGCATGCTAGTGCAAGAGAGCATGTTAGTGCAAGAGAGGATACTAGTGCAAGAGAGCATGTTAGTGCAAGAGAGGATACTAGTGCAAGAGAGCATGTTAGTGCAAGAGAGGATACTAGTGCAAGAGAGCATGCTAGTGCAAGAGAGGATACTAGTGCAAGAGAGCATGTTAGTGCAAGAGAGGATACTAGTGCAACAGAGCATGTTAGTGCAAGAGAGGATACTAGTGCAACAGAGCATGTTAGTGCAAGAGAGGATACTAGTGCAACAGAGCATGTTAGTGCAAGAGAGGATACTAGTGCAACAGAGCATGTTAGTGCAACAGAGCATGTTAGTGCAAGAGAGGATACTAGAGCAACAGAGCATGCTAGTATGATGATGCATGGTAGTGCAACAGAGCATGCTAGTATGATGATGCATGGTAGTGCAACGGAACAACTTCTTACTTGTCCAATGACTGGTCACATGATAAAAATTTCGGTAACTAAGGAGAGTGGTGCCCAAGCAAGAGCGGCTCGTAACTCTGTGATGAAGGACGGAGGATAACGGTGGAGAGAAGGGGATAGGGAGGGAGAGCAGGAAGGATAAGAGGGAAGAGTAGGAGAGGAAGAAGAAGAGGAACAATAAAGTTACTGCTGGAAGTGCCGGATCAGGCGGTTTGTAATAGATATGGGGACCTGCGCGGTGCTTCAAGTAACAGTCTTACCGATCACGCCGCTGTCGTAAAAGAAAAGATATTCCGTGACCACTTGTGGAGCAGGAAAGGCCGCCTCTCAGCACCCTACATTAGAGGAAGCACTCTGGCCCCTGATGACGGCCCGGCCACACGGAACCCCTGGCTCATCTGACCACCCGTTAACCCTAAGTAAAGCCAAATGTTTTATGTTCCGGACCGCAAGGTAGCGGAACTGTGGTGTGAGGTGCTGCACCACACAAGCGAGGCCGTCACAACACTGGACACTCCCGCAGCACCACCCGGGGCGGGTGAACCACCTCACCAGACAAGTCTAGTACAACACAATACAAGCCCATAGTCGCAACACTACGGGGCCCGTAGCCTGGTGGATAGCGCGCAGGACTCGTAATTCTGTGGCGCGGGTTCGATTCTGCACGAGGCAGAAATAAATGGGCAAAGTTTCTTTCACCCTGAATGCCCCTGTTACCTAGCAGTAAATAGGTACCTGGGAGGTAGTCAGCTGCCACGGGCCGCTTCCTGGGGGGTGGGGAGGAGTTAGTAAACAGTTGATTGACAGTTGAGAGGCGGGCCGAAAGAGCAAAGCTCAACCCCCGCAAACACAACTAGGTGAATACAACAGCGAGTGTCCGCTTTAGTATAATAATAATATATGTTATTAATACTGTTAATAACTCTCAAATCATAACTGTTATTATTTGAGAGGCTCGGCACCAGAGGGCAGGGGCACCGTGGACAGGCTCGTCGTGCTCTCAGCACGAGCTTCCCATAAGGAAAATCTACAAATATAAGACACGGTGAAGTGGTCTTAATGGTCACGTCAGAAATAATTAGTTCCTAATTCTCTACAAAGTTGCGTGCAACTTCCTCGACGAGTCGTAAAGCCTCGTTTATCTCTTTAAAGTAATCCGGACAATTAAATCAACTCCACTCCTCGCAGCCTCCATGCCATCTTGTCCATCCTACTCCACTTCTTGCAGCCTCCATGCCATCTTCACCATCTTACTCCACTTCTTGCAGCCTCCATGCCATCTTGACCATCCTACTCCACTTCTTGCAGCCTCCATGCCATCTTGACCATCCTACTCCACTTCTTGCAGCCTCCATGCCATCTTCACCATCTTACTCCACTTCTTGCAGCCTCCATGCCATCTTCACTATCTTACTCCACTTCTTGCAGCCTCCATGCCATCTTCACCATCTTACTCCACTTCTTGCAGCCTCCATGCCATCTTCACCATCTTACTCCACTTCTTGCAGCCTCCATGCCATCTTCACCATCTTACTCCACTTCTTGCACCCTCCATGCCATCTTCACCATCTTACTCCACTTCTTGCAGCCTCCATGCCATCTTCACCATCTTACTCCACTTCTTGCAGCCTCCATGCCATCTTCAACATCTTACTCCACTTCTTGCAACCTCCATGCCATCTTCAACATCTTACTCCACTTCTTGCAACCTCCATGCCATCTTCAACATCTTACTCCACTTCTTGCACCCTCCATGTCATCTTCACCATCTTACTCCACTTCTTGCAACCTCCATGCCATCTTCAACATCTTACTCCACTTCTTGCACCCTCCATGTCATCTTCAACATCTTACTCCACTTCTTGCAGCCTCCATGCCATCTTCACCATCTTACTCCACTTCTTGCAGCCTCCATGCCATCTTCAACATCTTACTCCACTTCTTGCAGCCTCCATGCCATCTTCACCATCTTACTCCACTTCTTGCACCCTCCATGTCATCTTCAACATCTTACTCCACTTCTTGCAGCCTCCATGCCATCTTCACCATCTTACTCCACTTCTTGCAGCCTCCATGCCATCTTCACCATCTTACTCTACTTCTTGCAGCCTCTATGCCATCTTCAACATCTTACTCCACTTCTTGCAGCCTCCATGCCATCTTCACCATCTTACTCCACTTCTTGCAGCCTCTATGCCATCTTCAACATCTTACTCCACTTCTTGCAGCCTCCATGTCATCTTCAACATCTTACTCCACTTCTTGCAGCCTCCATGCCATCACCAACATCCTACTTCAGTCACCACAGCCTCCACACCTTCAATACGTTGACTCTTAGCTTAATATATATAAACAGTAGCACACACACAACTAAGTTCTGAGGACAGAGTAGAGCCTCACGTAACCAGAAGAACCTTGAGAGGACATGATCACGATGTACAATATATTTAAAAGACACAGAAAAAGAGACAACTTGTATAGAATGAGAGGAAACAGGACAAGAGACATAAACGAAGAGGAATATAAGAATGATAATCAGGGAAGAGGACAACTCTGGAGTACCACACCTTAGGAGACCCGTCTTTAAACATGCTGGGATATAAGACAATTTCTAATTCTAAATCTAGATTATTCAGCATATAATTATAATGAATAAGTAACATGATGTTATTATGACTTCATCATAGGTAAATAATGTATAAGTAACATGATGTTATTATGACTTCATCATAGGTAAATAATGTATGTAAATTTTCTGTAAACTCAGTTACAGATGTACAAACATGTTTGAATAAAGTTTTTGAATTTGAATTTGCAGCAAGAAACTAACTTACGAATTTAAACTCACCATGAACAACAATGTTCATTATAAAATACATTATCATCATCATCATAGTCCAACTGAGACGAGTATATCCGTGAACATTCTCAACATTAATACGAAACTACAAGCGCCGATATCCTCAATACCAATTATCAACCAGCGCCAACTGGCGGCCGTGGCCCCAAGTAACGCACTAACCCACGGATTAAACAAGCAATTTCTCATTAATTAACTCCGCTGGTAAGGCTGCAGACAAGGCTAATAGTGCCAGCAGCCACGCCATTCGTCACAAGTGCAGTCGTTTATATTCCCCGCTCTTGGCACTCACAAAGGGAATATGCATTTTCAACAGCAGGAATACAATATTCCTTTAGCTGTCAGTGGTAAAATGTTTCCTCAGCTGTCAGTGGTAAATTGTTTCCTCAGCTGTCAGTGGTAAATTGTTTCCTCAGCTGTCAGTGGTAAATTGTTTCCTCAGCTGTCAGTGGTAAATTGTTTCCTCAGCTGTCAGTGGTAAATTGTTTCCTCAGCTGTCAGTGGTAAATTGTTTCCTCAGCTGTCAGTGGTAAATTGTTTCCTCAGTTGTTAGGGGTAAAATATTCCTTCAGCTGTCAGTGGTAAAATATTCCTTCAGCTGTCAGTGGTAAAATATTCCTTCAGCTGTCAATGTTAAAATATTCTTTCAGCTGTCAGTAATAAAATATTCCTTCAGCTGTCAGTGGTTAAATATTCCCTCAGCTGTCAGTGGTAAAATATTCCCTCAGTTGTCAGCAGTAAAATATTCCTTCAGCTGTCAGTGGTAAAATATTTCCCCAGCTGACAGCGGTAAGACAGCTTGCCAGAGGTAGGCTGCAAAAGGGAAATTTACCCCAGGAAAGAAAAAATATATATTAAGAAAATTGTTGTTCCCTCATGACGTTCAGAGTTAGTAACAAAAAGATTATGGTAAGACGCCTTTAACCAAATAATATTTGCAGTAATTTGGCTGTTGTGGCAAAAAAATGGTTTTGCCCTCACTGAAGACGAAAGCAAATACCCGGTAATTAAAAAAAAAATCACAAAATCATAGAAAAAAATGGATGTAGATTATTGGAAAATTATTAAATAAAAAAATCTGGTAGCTATACATGAGAGCATAAATATGTGTCTCGTCCACCTCGTCTACTATTTACACAAGTTCATTCTGGGAGATTTAACAGCCACAAGAAATAATGATAAAATCCATTAATATCATCGGATATTGTGCAGGAAGAGATTCCGGGGTCCTGGAGCGGTGTAGGTGACGCTGCAGGAGGCGGCGACATGTTCACTCCACCGAGGTTGTGTGGGCACTAAAGGCTCAAATATGCTGTCCCCGGAGACCTCTGGCTGTCGGCGACACATTCTCACAGCTGCTATATTGCTCACCAGTTCCCCACATATTAAACAGCCAGCGATGTCTGCCGCACGCAGCCGTGGAATATATAAAACAGCCAGGAACGGTATTGGCAGAGGAAGAGTAAAAACACTACCATTACCTAGTGATGGAAACTGCATGCCACAGCAACTCAAACCGGCAGCCTCACTGACTCCTGAAACCCACCTTCTGGATGAAAGGATAGGAGACAAACTAAGAGTGTTCCATCTTATAGGGCCTTAAGACCCTGTATCGTCCTTGGCATCCTGAGCCAAGATATATGCTCCGAAGGTTCCGGGTGATGGGTGGTGGAAGACTGGGTGATGGGTGTGAAGGCTCAAGTGATGGGGTGGTGGCGCAAGACCTTACCTAACAGTAACTATGGCGGTGTGAGGTTCATGCGCCACTTAAATGACTTGTATCCGATGCATTTCTCTTTACTTTTTAACTATACTGACATTCAGTGCATTTAACTAGCTGACTACCCATACCTTGGGGTTACTTTGAGGTGATTTCGGGGCTTAGCGTCCCAGCGGCCCGGTCGTCGACCAGGCCTCCTCGTTGCTGGACTAGGAAATGTAGATGTTTATCTCTCAGAATGTTTGGTAATGTTTATTGTTTGTGATGTGTTTATATGTATGTATTAACACGATGTACTGAACGAGTTGAGAATAGCTTGAGCTACCTCATCCCTTTGTGTGTATTTTACCTCAATAAACTTATTTCAATTTCAATTTCGTTGCTGGACTGGTCAATCAGGCTGTTGGACGCGGCTGCTTGCAGTCTGACGTATGAGTCACAACCTAGTTGATCAGGTATCCTCTGGAGGTGCTTATCGAGTTCTCTCTTGAACACTGTGAGGGGTCGGCCAGTTGTGGCC